CTTTTCACGTCTAAACCGCTGAACAGGTTTTAATAAAATTTGGCACAGAGATAGCTTACATGTTGGAGATGGACATAGGCTACATTTTACTGCGAGAAAATTCGATATAATGCGGGCGAAGCTGTGGGTAGACAGCAAGTGATAAATAGAATAAGTTTTTTTTTACATTTATTACCTTTAAAATACAATTCTAATAATAATGAAAATAACATAAGGTTATTTAATTTTAATGTGACAAATGTGCACGATTTTCTTTGTACAACTTTAAAATCTGGTTGCTTTTTGGTCAGCTTCAGTCTCAAGTCATCTTCAAGTTGAAGTCAGTGACAATGTTTAGTTTTCATGTTTGTCATGGCCGAAAATCGCTATCGCAGAGATAGGTTGTGCAAAATGGTAGTAAATATTTTATTGCCGCTTTGCTGACATGATAATAATGATAAGTTTTTGTTTCTTGCATAAGAATTTCATTTAGGTATTGTCACAAATGCATTTTTTGATGAAATTTCGAGAATATTTTTAGTTATAGATAAACGAATTTGTGCATATGACATCATGTTGTAAATTGCCGAATTTTTGATGGTCCACCCATATTTTTTTGATTGCTTCATCTCATGCATTTAAATTTTAAATCAACCGGTTTTAGATTGCTGCGCGTACCCCTTCATGCAATTTCACGTACGCCTGGGGTACGCGTACCACTAATTGGGAACCATTGCTCTACAGTATAGAAATTCATTTTATATTAATTAAAGCAATATTTGTAAATAATTTAAATTATTGTTGGGGTTTCCACTTCTTATAATTTTTCAATCAAATAAAATAAAACTGCTTTTTAGAATATGAAAGTTTAACTCAAAGTTTTATTATGTATAGAATCAATAGTGCAGAATGCTAAATTTCTACATGTGCATTTTTTGAGGAAAACAATTTCTGAGCTTCAGTTCATTGAAGTATAGTACATAATAGAGGCCTTGTAAACAATATCCTTCATGTATCCTCACAGAACAAAATTAAGTGGCATAATATTGGGTAACCAAAGAAGCCATGAAATCAATCTACCACATGCAATCCAGTACTCAAGAAAATTAAATGTCAAGAAATTCAGATAATAAGAATATCTTGCTGGAACACTACATTTCGATTATCTCCAAAAATAAGCCTTTGTTTTGAAAAACCAAAGTACACACATTGTTTTCTCTTCAACATTTAGCATTTTGAAGTAAGGTGTCATATCTCCTAGACATCAATGTGGTAAGTACAGCATTGCCAAATGAAACTTTTTGAGTTACACTTTCATATTTTGTAAGCAAAAAATCATTGTTGTTTCTGAGTGTAAAATTACAGAACACAGAAACACTAACAATAATTTCTGAATTTCAATAATATTTTTAATTGTTTTAGTAATACAGTCGACTCGCCTTAAAACGAACACTAGTAAAGTAAATTCTTACATTAAAGCAAATTTTGCTGTTGTCCTGGCAAAATGCCATTCTCACAACATTAATTTTCATGCGGTAAGTGAACAAAAATTTTGCCAGAATTCATTAAACTGAACTGTAAATTACCTTTACAACCCCCAAAAATAACACTATTTCCAATAATGGTTACTTTTTACATTTTTCAACAATAATAATAAAAAGTGGTACTGTATTAAATGTTTCAATTTCAATAGAATAGATTTTCTTCTACTAAGAAAAGATGAATTTGACCTCCAATTGTAGAACAATTCAAACACCTGGTTTTAGCAGACCATTCTACTGTACTCAGAAAATAGGGGTTAAGGTTTAAAGATGGCCCCTTTAAATGGATGCAGCACCATGCAAACATGTGCTAGTTTGCATATCAGAGAGTGCATACAGTAATGCCAGGTTTGGTTACTTTGTGCCAAATTTGGTTCCTTTTATACTCTTTTGGTGCCAAAAAATATTTTCTACTTTTTCAAACAATCATCAACAGAAAAAAATCACAGATTAACCATTCTGATATAATAGTAGGCACTTAAACAGCAAATACCATCTCATTTTGTTTGATTTGAAAATCATTCAGAACATTAATTTGTTTGTGTAAATCAATTTAACTTTATCTAACTTTACTTAGTAAATTAATTCAAAATATTATAATTTAGAGATTTTGATTGTTTATTAAGCCATAACTTCCAAAATTATACAATATTGACCTGAGCCTGAAAATTGTTAATATGAATTTTTGATAAAGTTAACTAATTACTGTTCTCCTAGTGATTCATATTAACGTGAGTTGACTGTATTATGTTAAGAACTGTTTTACTAACCTCAATATCAAATTCTAGAAGATTAAATGAAGCTTTGAAAACTGAACAAAAATGTGCAATACTTGGAATTTCCCACCAACTTTGTATATCTGAAATTATATAAATTCTTACTAATATATCTTATTTAAAAAATGTTAACAGTAAATGAATAACAAACCTAAATCATTACATTTTCATAAAATACATGGATGACTAGATATGCTCTAACTTATTTAGATCAGTAATTAGCAACCTTTTCTAGATGTGGACTGAAAGAGAACTTTGTAGGCTTTCTGTGGGCCACATACATTTTTCGGCACTTGTACAGATTAACGGGTACGGCTATTTGAGAGGTTTACTTCCATAAAATTAACTAAATCTAGACTAATTTCACTCGAATATTTCCAAAACACGTATAATTTGTTGAAATGATCGATATAAAATATGCTATGAACAAAAAATTGTCGGAATACTTATCGAGTGTACCCGTTCGAAGACGCCATTGCTTAAGCTTGTTTTCGTCGCGGAACGGCACATTCTTCGTACGCGTCCGCTTCCAATGTGTCGGTGCTATTCGGTCACGTGACTACTCATCTCTGACGTGTTCCTGATAACTTATTCTTTTTGCGAAGAATTCACTGAACTTTAGAGACATCACTTGATAGATTACAATAAAAAATCTATAGTATATTATGATTAAAAACGACTTATTATTATTATTGACTATATGAAGCAGCAAAGGAAAAACCACTCGCTAACGACAACAATTCTATCATGATATATATTATAATGATGATAAATATTAATCAGATGCAACATAAGATGTCTAATGTCGATGTAAATAAATATTATACAATTTTGTTTACGACATGAGAGATTAGACCATTGAAAAGTAGAACAGAATTATTAGTTATTTATCGCATTATCATACGTTATTATATGTTGATTTTAATCCATATTTAGAATGGAATGAAGTTTTAATATTTCTGTTAATGATGTCTCTAAAGTTCAGTGAATTCTTCGCAAAAAGAATAAGTTATCAGGAACACGTCAGAGATGAGTAGTCACGTGACCGAATAGCACCGACACATTGGAAGCGGACGCGTACGAAGAATGTGCCGTTCCGCGACGAAAACAAGCTTAAGCAATGGCGTCTTCGAACGGGTACACTCGATAAGTATTCCGACAATTTTTTGTTCATAGCATATTTTATATCGATCATTTCAACAAATTATACGTGTTTTGGAAATATTCGAGTGAAATTAGTCTAGATTTAGTTAATTTTATGGAAGTAAACCTCTCAAATAGCCGTACCCATTAATCTGTACAAGTGCCCATTTTTCAATGTAGTTTCAGGCTTTAGGCCTTCTGAGTATCAACATATTTCTAACCATCAGTACATTAGTTATAGTTAGTAAAATAATGTTTGTTAATGATATGCATTTTTGAATTTCCATTACTTTAAATTTCCAAACCATTAATAAGATAAGTTTTCTTTGCCCTTCCAATTCCCATAAATAGTTTATAAATAGTTAATTATAAATGGTATAAGTATTATAACTCTAAATGCCATTCTTTGAAGACAGAAGAGCAGGTAGAGTGAAAGCACCCTCTTGCCTTTGAGAAACAGTTCCTGAAGTCATTAACCAGAGGCTGGAGAAAGCAAGAAGAAACTATTCAAATTAAAGTCCTAGTGATATCCAAAGTAAAACAACCATAAAGTAAACAAAACTTAAACCTGAGTCTCTACATTACTAGAGCTCTAATCTATAGCTGGATCAAACATCAAACGAAAAAAATCGTTTTTTCGTTTGATGTTCGATCCAGCTATACCTGAAGAAGAGCCCAAAAGGGGTTAAGAAAACGTTCGTATTGGAAAGATTAATTTCTATACACATCAGTTAAAGGTTCAAGTAGGTCTTATTTATTTTACACAACCCAGTGTGCAGTTGCTGTTTTACAAAATATTTATGCATAGGAGGGGCTAAAATGACATGGAACTGGAAGGAGAAAAGATTGAGGGATGTGAACATTACAATTATCTTGGAATACAAGTTCATCAAGATGAAAGATATACATTAGAAATTAATACAAGATTAGTACAAGGTAAGAGAGCAGTTAAAAGATTAAATGGAATATGATGGAGTTAAGAAATAACTAGGTCAAGAAAAATATATATATATAATGCTATTATTAAAACCATTCTGTTATATGGAGCGGAGGTACGGAGAATGACTGGGAAGAGAGGAGAAAAGTAACAATGGTTGAAATGAATGCATTGAGAAGATTGTGCAGATTCTCAAAAAGAGAAAGAATAACTAATGAGAGAATCAAAGGCCTAATGGGATTGAAGGAGACTGTTTTGAAAGAAATAAAGAGGAAACAACTTATTTGGTTTGGACATGTGAAAAGAATGAGTGATGAGAGACTCCCAAAAATGTCATTGAATACAATCCACAAAAAAGGAAAAAGAAAGGAAGACCCAGACAAACTTGGTATGACAGAGTAAAGTTAGAATGTAGTGAAAAGGGGATTAAAGAGGAATGATGTATAGATGGAGAGGGTTCCTGGAGATCAGAAGACGACGTCAGACGCCATAAACTGAATATAGATAGATATGTGGCTTTGGAATCTATTCTTTCATCAGCAAGTGTTTCTGATATAAAATAAAGTTAGTTTTGCAATATTGAATTTTATTCATGGTTATATCATATTAAATGATGTTTATGTAAATATCAATACCATGATACCATGCTAGGTATCATTTCCAGTAATCATCTTTTGTGTGGTTTGCAGAACTTTTTAAAAGAGAAAACTTCTGAAGATGAGAACAGTGTCAAAAATGCTATTGAAGAATATTTTGATTCAAAACTAAAATCATTTTACAAAGACAGGGTTAAAAATCTACCTTCAAGATGGGAAGACATTACACAAAATAATGGCAAATAGATTATAATTTGAAATAAAATTTAATTAAAATTTTTTGTTGGGTTTTTTTTTGTAAATAAAAATATGCAAGAACTTATGAACTAACCTGATATTACCTCAATATAAATTAACTTCTCATAATTAAAATAACTGGTATCAAATAATTTTTAATATCCTTTTCTTTCAAAATTAATGATAAAATGAATTGATTTGTTTTTTCCCTAGTCCTACACCACAAACCTATATTATTATAGTAGAATATAGGAATTCGTACGTACAGTATATAAATGATGTGTAGATATTAACCTGAAACTAACTTCTACTGTTGTCAGTATTAAAATTAAAATGGAAATATAAATGTAAATGGATAAAAACATATCAAAATATCTTAAAATTGCACAGAACTTCCTCATTATTACATTTCTTTACATGTTTTCAGTTATGATTACACGTATGAAAAACTGTCACACTCCAATGGCATAAACATTATTATAGTCTGTGATTTAGGCCTAAAGATGTAATTAGACATCGAAAAGCTGGAAAAAAACTTAACATATGATAAAATATTAGTTTAAATCTATTATTTGATAAAATATAAACTTACCGTCCATGATATTACTTCGTGACAATATATAAAATACTTTAAAATTTGAAAAACAATATTATCTACTAATTCATACAATCCAACTTTTCCGGCGGCTACAGTCTATTCATTTACTGTCTTCTAATTGGATTAAATTATCTTTTCAATATTCGAATAAAATTAAGTTAAATCTAACTGCTAATCTTTATTAATGTATTAATTAAATTGATGAGTAATAATAAATCATTTATGTTAAATATTTTGTAATTTATGATATTCAAAATTTTAACCTGAATATGTTTTATAGTACTGTACAGTACAGTCAGTAGCAACCGGATGGTCGAGCGGTTAAGGTAGCAGCTTACCGCTCTGGGGGGCCCAGGCTCAAATCCGAACGGGTCAAAGATCCCCAGGAATTTTTCGGGGGTGGTCCGTTCGGATATGTCGGGCCCCTTCCCTCACCACCCGGCAGCCCCATTTTGGGCCTGGCCGAACCCATAATGGGCTTGCAAAAAGATACCCTCTTAATGTCCACAGGGCGGAAAGAGTTAACCATCAAAATTTTATAGCATCAATGCTGCTAATACACACACCTCTCTGTAAAATTTCATAAATTTTCGAAAAAAAAAAAAAATACAGGAGTTATTAAGCTTCAAAGAAGGTGAACAAAATCGTGGGCATCACACACATACTAATATCCATACATACACGGGGAAAACAAACTCGATTTTTTTCATTTTTTGACGTTTCAAGGTCCCGAGTCCAAAAATGTAAGTCTTGGGAGGTCATTTTTCGACTGATCGCCATACTTTCCGACTATTGTACTGTATATAAAAGCCGGGAAAGCAAGAAAGCCTTTAAATAGCCACGCTAGCGGAATAGAAATAGCAATATGGTACCAATCGGCTTTAGAAATTGAAATAACGGGAGTGCAGAAGGGGAAATTTTAGAAAAAGGCGCGAAATTCATCCGCCATCTTGGTGTGCTCATTTCGTTCCTCGATTTCAGAGATTTTAAGTAACTCTTTTCCGCGACTTTACTACAGTTCCTTATTCTTTAACTTCTGGTCTTCCTCTTTGATCTCTTCTCTGTTCAGGTAGGAGTTTCCCTCTTTCTTACAACCGGAGTGGCTTCTCCTCTGGACTCGGTAATGGCGTCGTCCTCGCGCGAGCGAATTGAAAAGCCACCATCGGGATCAGAAGCACCCATAACTTCTGACGAATTAAGATTTATTTCTCCTCTGTCGGAATTGGAGAAACTCTTCTCCATCCGTTCGTCCCTTTCTTCGGACCTAATCTATACGATTTTTCTGGAAGGACAGGGACCTCTCCGACGTCTTCGTCCGGCTGAGCTCCACGTGGCCCTCAAACTGCATTTCCCCCAACCGGATCTTCTAATTATCAAAACTCGGGATCACCAAGCAGCAGAGGCGGCTCTTCGTACAGCCGATATTGCCGGGACTATACCGCTTATCTCCTTCGTGGTGTGGACCCGTCGATCACAGTCCAAGAAATTTACGATATACTTTCGGACTCCCACCTTCCAATCTTAGAGATACGTCGTTTTACACGACAGTACGGGGATAACATCGAGCCTAGCTCCACGGTTTACTTCTCAGTGGCCAGTGCTTCCCCGCTGAAATCTGTTAGTATCTATTACCAACGATACCACTGTGAGAGATATATTCCTCGCCCACGTCAATGCAGGCGATGCCTCAATTTTGGTCACCCGCCCACGGCATTCCGCGGCCGCCGCAAATGTATTACTTGCGGGGCTGACCATGACCCGGTCACATGTATTGCCGCTGCGGCCGGCTGTGTGCGTTGCGGAGGAGAACATTCTGCTGATTCTCCCCGCTGCCCAGCCTATCAGCAAGAGGCACGCCTGTTAAAATTCAGCGCCATCCAGCGCTGTTCTTATCTAGAAGCCAAGCGCTCGCAGAGCAACTCCCCCGAAATCATACGCAAGAGTGGTCTCGACTTTCCCCCCCAAAACTGTCCGAAAGGACCCATCGTTGTGAAAAACAGCCAGCTCTTTCTACTATTGGACAGACAAGTGACATTTTGACCCTAACAAATCGTATCTCCCAATTGGAATCCACAGTGGAGAAGCTATGCGGAGTTAAGTCTTCTTCGCTCGATCATTCAGCCTACCCCGCTTAACCCAACTCAGGGTTCCCTCCGTGAGCCGAGTCTAGACAAGGATCTGACCGTGTCCACGTCAAATAAGCGCTCTTTCCACCCGGCGGGCCCTTTGACTCCTGCCCAACTCCCAAAGAAGAAGAAAGGACCTAAACCTCGTCCCACTGATCCATTGGCGGCATCTACAAACTTTGAGTACAGATCCAGCATTGTGGCCAAGAATTTTAGGAGTCGCCGAAAGAAGTTGTTTAGTAAGACAAGGTCCACCTAAAGTTTAGGTGAACCTTGTCTTACCACCATTGTATTGCCTAAATTTTCACCATTGTATTGCCATTGTATTGCCATTGTATATTTACAAATTTCCTTCCAATGACACTGGTCGACATTTTAGCGTAAATTATTATACACGAATTTTAAGCAATGGAGAGCAAGTTTTACGATACTGGTTAGTGTATTTTCTTTCACAAAACTGCGTTTACTGCTTCTGTTGCAAAATTTTCGGCTGTATAGTTTTCGGCTCTTTCAAAGGAGGGTTTTAAAAGTTGGAAGCACCTCGGCGAAACTTTAAAAGAGCATGAAATTTCCAAAAATCATATTCAGGCCCAAAAATCATGGCTAGAAATGAACCTAAGTGTTGGAAAACTAAGGTTAAAGTGTTGTAAAACTATAGATGCGGCCTCTCAAAAAATTATTAATATCGAAACAAATCGTTGGAACGAGATGCTTCTAAAAATCGTAGCATTTACTAAAATGCTTGATAAAATTGGTCTGGCTTTTCAAGGTACAAGCGACAAGTCGTTTGAGTATAAAAAACGGTAATTTCTTAAAAATAGTTGAGTTGCTATCTGAATTTGATCCCATTATGAAAGAGCACGTCGTAGAGTGCTAAAAAAGAAGAGACGAAAGCTCACTATCTTGGGGAAAATATACAAAACGAGATAATAGATCTGCTGCATCAAAGTGTAAAGTCTCATTATTGATGAAATAAAAAAATCAAAATATTTTTCCATAATTTCAGACTGTACTCCTGACATTAGTAAGGTAGAGCAAATGACTTGTAATCAGATATGTTTCAATCAATAAATTTGACGCTGATTTTGAAATTAAAATTAATGAATGCTTTTTAGGCTTCTTACCAGTCGAAAGATCCACAGGAAAACAAATGTCTGATATTATAATTGGAGAACTTAATGACTTGGGTTTAAATTTGCAGGATATCAGAGGGCAAGGATACCACAACGGGCCCAATATGAGGGACGATAAAGCAGGAATGCAATCTAGAATTAAACAATAGTCAAGTTCAAAACTCACATACGCCAGTTAAATTCAAAAACATATATATTGAAAGTAAACATATGTACTGTACAGTTACAAAATTTTCACGAATAACAATTACAAAACGTCAGATGTTAACAAAGTTCAACACATTTATCCACTACAACAGGTCCGTCGGACGTGCGGTAAATAACATTAGAAGTTTTCGTCTTACGACGAAAACTTCTAATGTTATTTACCGCACAGCGAGACGAAATAATCTTCTAGGTCAGCTTAGGCTAAGTTAGAACGACCGTCAGTTTCCTTGATATGTCCGACACGAACTAAAGTCAAACGTGAGTCCACTTCATGTCATCTAGTAAATGTCATTAAATTGATACTTTAATAAGAGAAGAGGCCTCTTCTCTTATTAAAGTATCAATTTAATTAATTAATGACATTTACTAGATGACATTATCTAGATGGGAGAGTAGGCTTTAAGGTCTCTATCCTACTCTCCCATCTAGTGTCACTCAATGGTTTCAAAGTTAAACCTTGAACATGTTTTAAAAGTATTGCCTATCGAAAAGTAGATGTCGAAAAAAATAAATATATTTTTTAGACCGTGTTGAAGAAATTAGCGGCTTCCAAGGATGCTTTTGCCATATCATTAATAACAAGATTGAGAGAGTGACTACTACACGGAACATAGAATGCTCGCGAATTATATTGTTGTCCGGATAAAATCGTCCGTCACACTATTTCCCGCGCTTTTCCATTTTTTGACGAACGACGGTTGTCGCCATAGAAACGACAATCTGACAACTTTTGGAAACTCGACCGCGGATTGGTTGAAAGACATCGGACCATCAGCGGACGTCTTGTAGCGCTACTAAGCGCTGATTGGTGGAAGCCGATTTATTTCAATCCGTATAAAAAGATTGAGTTGTGGCGGGAAGTTTAGTTTGCCTTGGACACATGAAGCAGCGTTGCCAGATTTGGCTACTTTGCGCCAAATTGGGCTACTTATTTTTCAGTTTGGCGTTAAAAAAAGCATTTGGCGAACTGGCTACTTTTTGGGCTACAAAAATTTGACTTGGCTACATTTTGGGCTGATTACACAAATTATTTCATCCTTTGTTTTGCGCACAGAACGGTAATACTTGTTGTGCTGTCTACTCATTTTGTTTTTAAACATAGTATAATTTATATAAGTTTTATACAGGCATACCTCGACTTACGTCGTTTCGAGTTACGTCGTTCCCGATTATACGTCGTTTGTCAAAAAAGTATATGGAAAAATAAAAATCAAGTTTAAGTCATTTTATTCGACTTTACGTCTGTCCGCCACAAATATTGAAGTCATAATATGACTAGAAAAACGTTTAAAGCACATAAAATCATATTAAAATATATACAAGTACGTACTGTATTTACAGTACATGCATTCGTAAATTTAGATTACTTTTTTTGTACTATATTAAAAACTAAAATTTATTTGTTTGTAAGCTTAAAATAGATTTTTATTAA